TGCCGGTGCCTAGGGAGCAGGGCCATGCCCCGCTTTGGACACCTCCCCGGGCCCAGGCAGGTGGAGGCTGGCGGCGGGGAGGCCCGGGCTCCGCGGAGCAGTGGCGCCGGGTCCCCCCGGCTTAGCTGCCTCCCGGCAGCCCCGGGGCACGGGCATGAGCGCCCCTTTCCGGGGGCCCCCCAGCTTCGCCTGGGGGCTGCGTGCCCATGCAGAGGAAGGAGGGAGCGGGCAGAAAAGCCTCGTGAAAGCGCCCGCGGACTTGGAAAGTTCCCGGGCAAGGCCTGCTCCGCGTTTCTCTTTTTGCTCTCGCCTCAAGCGGGGCGGCTAAGTACAGACGAGCCCCTCGCGCGGGCCAGGAGAAGCGTCTGAAGTCCGCGCGGCGGTTTGCCCCCTCCGTGCAAGGTACGTGAGCAGAGCAAACAGAAACTGCCCTGTTTGTGCAAGGCGGCTGAGTCACGGAGGCAAGGCAGCAAACGCGTGGCGCAGTTCTGGGTTTTGCTGGCCCTCTTGGAAAGGCGGAGGGGATTTTTTTTCATAGAAGTTGCAGCGACTTGCGATCTTCCAGGGGAAGGGATGCACGTGCAGATGCGTTCGATCTCAGCCGTGAAGCAACTGGAGGATTTTTGCAAGCTAGGGAAAGAACCACCAAGCGACTTCAAAAAAGGGCGAAACTAAATTTCTCTCGGGGATCCGGCTTGTCGGGGGTATTTGGAAACCCTGTTTTGGGATGCTTTTATAAATGCTGAAAGATTTTGCAGCAAGCCAGATGGACCGAGAGCAGGCTTTGGTAAGCAGCGGGTCTGCTGAGTGCCTGCCCCACAAGCCTTCCCCTCCTCGGGCAGGTCTGCCCAGGCTACCAGTGGGGTCTGGTCCTAAGTGTAACATGCTGCCAGAAGGCGAGGGTGAGTCCAAGAGCGCAGCAGGATCCAGGGTTTAGATGCGTGACCATGCATAACAGGAGTGTCTGCAATGGCATTTGAGTGGATACAAGTCTATGCGTCGGGAATAAGTGCACATCCTTTGGTGCACGCGTCCATTGGAAGGGTGTAACCTTGGAGCCAACAACAAGTTTCTCTACTGGGCGGTTGATTTTATAGCTGCTTGTTAACGAGGATTCCCCAAGGCCTCTGGCGTTAGCTGCAGCCACAGACAGGACTCCGGGTGAGATGGTGGATTGTCGATCTGATCGGTTGGGTGACATACCTAAATCTGTTAATGATTTCAAGTCAAGTCAGTCCCAAGGCGTCTGTGCCCACTGGGGCACTTTAGACGAGGTAACAACCCTCCTAGGCTAGTTGAGTTGCTCTGCGTGACTGGTGATTCTTCGGGCAGAGTGACCATCTCCTCTCCAGGTCTGGATGACCGTTGGCTTGTCTGCTCTTTGACAAGTGTTGTTCTCGGTATCCACGCACCCTCCTCACCCAGGCTAGCCCAGGTGGGGCGTGCTGGTTTAGCCTCCGACAGCCCAACCAGTTAATGATTATTTTAAAGCACTTATTGCGGGGATACACGGCTTCCTATGAGCTTACCATGAGGATTGCAAAGTGAATGATATGATGGACTATGGGGGTATGACCTAGGAGTGACGTTCGTGCCAAGGCACGGTGCAGATGGTGACCTCAGATGAGTCGAGTTTGGAGCACTAGGCTCTCTGCCCGTCACGTTTCTGTAACTTTCTGTTCTCTCTCGCAGGTCCGGCAGGTGAACTCTGAAGAGGGAAGGGAAACAGCATGACACCACAAAGCTGAAACCCCTGGGAAGAGAAGCCGCTGAGGATGCGTAGCACCCAGAGCCTGCCAAGCACACACGTAGAAAAGAAACTGGCCTTTGCTTATTCCAGGCCCCAGAGACAGTAGTATGCTTTTTCCATTCCCTGCTTCTTCAGCACGTTGTCTGAATAAACAGCTGATGCCATGGCAGAGAGCGCAGAGGCCCAGCCCACATTCGAGGATGTCTTCAGTCTTTTATCTAGGATGCCCGAAAATAGACTTGTTAGCCTGAAGCTTAAGCTGAAGCACATGAGACCCAGCACAAGCAGCAGTAAGTTACTGCAAGCCATGGTCTTGCTGGCTTTGGGGCGGGAGGCAGAGGCTAGGATCTGCCTGGATGCTTTGGGAGAGGACACGGGAGCCTTGTATGTGTGCACGACCAGACTGGGGTCTGCAGGGCTGCCAGCAGGCTGCGTGGACCCAGGGACGCCCCAGCTGGATGCAAGTGCTCTGTGGGTCCTGGCACAGATCTACTCTCTGCTGGTGGAGGAAAAGGTGTGCAGTCAAGACACCAAAATCAGCGCCTACAGAGCTGCCATTCGAGCTGCCAGGGCCAGCAAGGGGAACCAGGGGGAGCAGCTGAGCAGCCTGCTGGCGGAAGCTCAGGAGCAATGCGGGATGGACATCAGCCTGGTAGAGAGAGGGGCCTCGTTTGAGACGCTGAGATCAGACCCCACGCTGTTCCAGACTGCCAGCCCGGCCTCGGTGCCGCGCAGCACCCCGGTGCAGATCAGAAGCGCGCCAGGTCTCTCGGGCCCACGGACCTTGCGTTCCTCGGGCAGCCCCGCCTCCTTCGTCAGCCACTTGGAGGTTAGCCAGTCCCCGACCGTGGAGTATTTGACCTGCTCAACTCGCCGTCACAACAACCCTGGGCCCAGCAAACTCTGCGGAGGTGGTGCCAGCCCTGCCGTGCACTACAGCGGGGGCAGTGTCAATCACGTTGCACGGGACCCCGAGCAGCTCGACAGTGCCGCCGCAACCCCCCTGCAAAGTCAGCCGAGGAGCTGTAGCCTCGGGGACCCCTGTGGCAGGAGCTCTCATCTCCCATTTCTTCCAGTTCCTGAAACTGGGCTTCCCTCGCAGAGTGCCATGCACTGCCCCGTAGAGTGTAGTGATCTTCCCAGCACAGTGCCGCCCAAGCCGCAGAGGCCACAAGAGAGTGTGCCCAAAGAGCCAAAAAAGGAGCCGCACGTGGGGCTGCCCGGCTCCAGTTCTGGCTCCCTCCGGGTGCCAGTGGAGGATTCTTATGTTCCGACAGAGAATCGGACCATGGCGTCTTCCTCCTCCATCTTTCCCCCTCCCCTCCAAGCACCAGCAGCAGCACCAGTGACTGCCCCCTCATCAGAGCCAGACACTGGTGAGGGAAAGTTCTACAGTTTTGTGGTCGTGCACGCCATGGAGGACGTGGACATCGCCTGCCGGGTGAAGGAGCTGCTGGAGAGCATGGGGGTCCCAGACGGCGCCACGTTCTGCGAGGACTTCCTCATTCCCGGGCACTGCCAGCTCACGTGCTTCCAGGACGCCATCAACAACTCTGCTTTCACCCTCCTGCTGCTGACTGAGAACTTCCAGTGCCGCTTGTGCACGTACCAGATGAACTCTGCCCTGATGGACTCCATCCTGCGGCTGCACAAGTACAACTCGGTCATCCCCTTCGTGCCCAAGGAGTACCCCTTGAAGAAGGGGCAGATCCCTGGTGTGCTGGCAGGGCTCGTGCCCCTGGATGAGAACTCCCGGGTGTTCGCCAGGAGAGTGAGGAACACTTTTGTCCTCAGCAAGATCAAGGAGCAGAGGACCAAGTGGAGTGAGATACAGCAGATCCAGGAGGCACACAGAAAGCAGAAGCAATACCAGGAGCATCTCCAAATGGTGCGGCAGACCTTAGCGACTCTGACCATTGGGTCCCAGCCAGGCTTGTTGCCCCCCATGCAGCTGCCGGATCTGACAGGACTGCAGCAGTTTCTGTCGAGCCTGTCGGCCCAAACAGCCTTAATAAACCAGCCTCACCTGGGTGGGCTGTTCATGCCTGGCTGCTCGGCTCCCTCCCTTTCCCAACCGGCAGGTCTCCCGCCAGGTCACCAAAATGTGGTACCGGGGACAGGCCAGCAGCCCCTCATCATTCAGAATGCACGGATGGTGCAGATTGGGGACCATAACCAGATGCAGGTGCAGAGGACCCAGTCGGTATCGGAAAGCTCCGATGAAGAGACCAACGAGTGTAACTGAGCGGAGGGGGCCAAGAGCTCAATGCTGCCGGGAGAAGTTAGTGCTCGGTTGGAAGGCCCTTCAGCAGGGATGGTCGGCCTTGTGACGTGAGCGCGAAACAAAAAGATGTCCTACCTCCTCCCCTCCTGTGGATGGGGAGAGTGGGAGGAAATGCCTCTTCTCTGCTGTTGGATGAGAGGACATGGGCTGCAAGCCCATAACAGCCTCTTCCTCCTTCACAGATACCGGGGGAGGAAAGTGTTTTCCCAGTTTTAAGGGACCCACAAATTTTAGAAATAAATTTTTTATTAATTTATTCCCCGTTTCTCCAAGTGCTCGCTTCCTTGGCAGGGCAGGACAGTCCTGGGGCATTTTTCTCTCCCCCGGAATGGTTTGGCATCCCTGAAATGCCCATGGGGCGACAGCCTGTCGGCGGAGAGCTGGGATTGCTGGAGTCGGCGACAGGGCCAGAACTAGATTTGCTGTGCAGCCTCGGGCAAGCTGCTTAGGTGAAAGATTTTCAGAAATGGCCAACGTGAGGCCTGACTTTGGCACCCCCAACCCTTACCGCTGTACCCTGGAGTGGGGGAGTTCAGCCAGGCCCCTGGGGTCTCATGTTGGAACATGAGATCGGTGCCCACATTTCTGTCTCTGCCTCAGCCTCCCTTTTTGAGACGGGGAGTGCGGTGCTGGTTTGCTCTGGTGAACTAGTTTGAGATCTACCCTGAGAAGCCTCATGGGAGTGCCAAGTTATCAGTCCCTTAAAGGGGAAAAAAGCAAGATGTCCCTTGGTGCCTGGACAGGTGTCCCCCTAGATGCACACATCCATATTCCCTTGTCACCGTGTTGATTCAAGGCTGTGATGCATGGAGACCCCTGCGCTGGAGCACTAAGTGCCCAGAGCTGGCCCAGCAGACACGCTGGCAAGAAGCCGATGTAGTTCTGAAGCATCTCTTGGTCTGTGAGTCTTGTCCGTCTGCAGAGGAAAGGGGCTCATCAGAAGTGCACGGCCCTGGGAGGCTGATGAGACGCCCAACATAGAAGGAGGATCCAGGATTTGGGGTGGAGGGGGAATGGGATAGGACAGCGAATGCTCCAGACATAAAAATCGGATCCCTGGTTTTAGCTCCAGGATGCCCACAGTCTAGGGCTGCACGGCCCCTGTCCCAAAGGGGACAGAGCACCACCAGCAGCGTGCCGCTCCCTGGGAAGCACGGGCATCAGGCATTGCCCACGCATGATCAAAAGCTGCTCAACAGGCCTGGGCAGCTGACAAAAGCAACTTTGCAATACATCGTGCATGGAGAAACCAGCAGTCACATCATGTTGCTTGCTTGGTTTCAGCACCTAAACCAGATCTTTGTATGAGTCATTAATGCACAGGCAGCTCCCTCTTGCAGCGCTTGCATGCCGAGAGCCCAGATCTGTCCTCCCCGATGTAACTGTTAGCCCTGACACCAGCGGGCACCCGTGCCTCGTTAGGAGGCTGCTCCTTTGGCCCCAAGTGGGCATGAGGTCTGGATGTTGGAGGTGAAGGTGACTTAGCTGATGTCCCCAAATCCTGCAAAGTTGCCTGCCTGGGGATGAGCCAGCCACCAGCTTCTCAGTGGAGGACCCAGCTTGAAAGCAGCGTTGCTAAACTGTCATTAAAACACCCTTGCTCAGGCACCAGACTTGTTCAGCCCTGGTTATGCCCTTGCCCGGGCACCAGATCTATTCATCCCTGGTGACCACGACGCAACAACGCTCTCCGGTGAGTGCCACTGCAAAGCTACATGCATGCAGGATCTCAAGTGAACCCAGCACAGAGTCAGCGCCCTCACTATCCCAAGATCTGGGGCACCTCAGCAACCTTTGGATAAAGGTTAAACCAGAGTTTGACCTGCCTGCAGCACGGTGTCCAGACCCACACTTCACCGTGTTAAACAACATCCACTGTACACGTCCAATTCTTCCCAGGAGCCGTTAGATGCAACTGCGACCTAGATGTTGTAGTACTGAGTGCGTTAGAAATACTCCTTTAGTTAAAGAGCAGCTCCTACCCACTCCGTGGCTATAACAATAGCAGGAGGGTTGGAAACTTAAACTTGATGCTTTTTAAAAATAAGAACAGTGTCTTACATCTCACCTGACCTCTAAAGACAGCACTAAGCAGCGTGAGGCCTGCAAGTGGGGGGTGGGGATAGCGAAAGACAGAGGGAAAACGTCCCCAGTGCAGCCCTAGCCTGAAAGGCGACTGGGAACAGGATGTGGGTTTTGCACATTTAACTCTCTCACAGTGGTGTCCAAAGGCCTGAACTGATATCAGTGCCCCGTCCTGGCCGCTGTGCAAACCCACAGGGAGACTCCCCTGCCCCCCATGCTCATGGGGTCTTACAAGGCATTGGAGCTCCCTGCCAAGAAGGGGGATGGGTAGGGTTGACACGGGATGGGGTGGTGCCAGCATTTCCAGGGCTCAGCGTGAGGCCCTTTGGCATGGAGACAATCCACAAGCGCACGAGGAAAGCCGACACAAAAGGCCGCTTGGCTTCATTAATGCGGTCGCGAGGGGAAAGGCAGAGCTGGTGGCTGCTTTTCAGCCCGCTTTACACAAAAAAGCAAGGCCTGGGCACTTCCCCCCACCCCCGCACCAGCTCCTCTGGCTAAGTTTCCTCTGCAGCCAGGAGAAGCCATTGCCACTCCCAAGGGGAGTCCGTCTTAGGGAGCTGGCGCGCGGGGTGGCTTGCGCAAGGGGCACAGCCTGGGTAGCAGGACTGCAGCCCGGCCACGGCCCCAGCGGGTGCGAGACTGCCGGGCATTCGGTAGCGGCGTGTTCCAAGTCATGCGGGTTCACGGTGCGGTGGGGACAGTTTCCCCCTTGTGCAACGCTGGCTCTGGGGGCCAGCGTGGGCAGGCATTTTCTTCGTTAAAAACAAGGGTTAAAGAGCAAGAGCCTGATTGTGGGGGGGCAGCTAGGGACGGAGCCAGGGGATGGGAAGGTTTGGTCTCCAACACTGGGAAGTACAATCCAGAGCAAGGCTGAGTGCTGCCGGAGGCCGCCGGCTAGGTCTGAGCTGGATGCTCACACAGCGACACCAGGTCCTTATGGAGGAGGATGCTGAAGGCCCAAGTCATTTTCAACGGGCTTCCAACGAAAGTCGCCCTGCTTTCGAAATCTGCTCGCTGTCTAGCTCCTGCCAGAGCCCCCCAGCTCGCCTCCCACCTCCCACGGCTGCACCCCACACTGTCCAGGTGGGTCCCCCCAGCCGCAGAGCCGAGCTGCTCTATTCAGACTCATGCCACACTGCCAAGGAAGGGATGTGCCAGCTCAGCTCTGCCATCGGAGACGCTTCGGCTGCCCCATTGCCTGGGCGTATCCAGCAGGGCTGCAGATAACCTTTGAGTCAGAGGCGACTTCAGCTCGTTCTGAGAATAGTAACACAACCTTTGAAGTCAGTGATTGCGTGCTCTCGGGGTGGCACCGAGCACGTCTGCTGAGTCATGGCTCGGAGGAGAACCGGTCTCCCAGTGCCACCAGTTCATGCCTTCAATGCTACCTCCTAGTACTGGCATAAGAGCCTCAGTCCCAAACGCAGGGAGATGCAGGACAATCCTAAGAGGTGGAGGGTGGCATTGCAGTGTGCAAACACCGGCAGAGCCCCCAGGCGGGCACACGCGGGGCTCGTTAAAGCGAGGCAGCGGCGCTGGGGTGGAGCGTGCGTGGCTAGCACCTGGGGTGTATTAAATGCAGCATCACTCAGGCCCGGCGGGTGACACAGCAGGAGCCCCCCTGGGAGCTGACGCGCTTGAGGCCGGCCACGCCGCTGTGCCAGGCAGAACTGGTGACAAGAAACAGGAAGTGGCGACAACACAACTTCCCCATGGGGCGCTCAGCAATGCAGCTGCCTCCGTCCCGCTCCCCTGCAAAGGGCAGCTGGGCTGAGTCACAGGTGGGGGCACCCTCAGCAGAAAGGAAGCTCCTAGCAGGGCTGTAGCTATTTCTTAATGGTCAGCGCTGGCTGTGGCTTCCCTGCATCATCGCCTTCCTTTGGCAAGGACCTGGCAAGCTGAGGGGCATGCCAGTGCCCCCCCACACACGTACCTAGACTTTGGCTATTAGCTAAGGCAAAACCGGCAGGTGCCTGAGGCTGGATCTCTGTGGAGCAGGATGATCCCCTCCCCTCCGCCCATCAAAGCCAGCAGGGGCTGGGGAGGGTGCTCGGTGTGCTCAGTGTGAAGGGGTGTTTCTTTGATCGGGGCTCCGGGGAGATTCAGACTCAGCTCTTGGCTCTGCCCTGGGTGTCCGCTGTGACCTTGGGCAAATCACTTCATCTTTTCCGGTGCAAAAATCCAGACCCCTTGATTCAGAGATGATAACTGAGAAATTGCAAAAAAATATATATATTTTTTTTTCTGCAAGCTTTTGTGCTCACATGCCCTTCATCAGGCTCAGGGAAAAAACCTTTGCCCTTTCCAAGTTCAAATCCCCACCTATCGCACAGAGGTGATGCTTCCCCTGCTTAGACTTGCTGGAGCTATTAGGCCAGTCTGTCAAGAGGGGGCACTCTGATGCCATGGAGCAGTTCAGAGTTTAAAGGCTCACTTTCTGGAGAGCGGTAAGAGCCAGGGATCCCCTGTCTGGTCCCCCAGGAGCGAGAGCTGAATGCAGAAGCCCTGTGTCTCCAGGCACCCGGCAGCACCTCCAAGATCTCCACACCCCCTGCCCTCCAGAGAGCTGCCAAATCCCACTACGAGAGCGCCCCTGGGCCCAGCTATCCGATACAGGAGGAAATAAATTATTGTAGCAAGAGTCACAGCCAGGGGAAGGGTCTTAGGTCCCCATGTCCCTCCAGACCCCTCTGCCTTCATTCTGCACCGGGCAGCCCCTCACCACTGCCAGGTGTAGAGCAATGCACCGAGACCCGCCGACATAAGGCCCATCAAACTAAATGAAGAAAGTGCCACGCAGCAGGCCAAGCAGAGGCTGGGGAGCTGGCTCTGGTTTTGCACTTCAGCCAGCCACCTGGGTTAAGGCGCTGGCATCTGGGGGCCTGTGCCCAAATTCTGAACTCCCCACACAGCCCCTGGGGAGTGACGGTGTCCAGACCGGGGTCCCAAACCACCAGCCCACACAGCAGGGCTGGTTGGCAAATCCTAAAAGCCACCTCTTCTCTCTCCGGAGCTTAAGCACCTCCACAGGGCCACAGAAAGGGTCTGCGCCCTGGCGGGGTGCACGCTACATCAGACGTGATGCACGGGAATGGAGACGGTAAGCCTACACGCCCTTGCGAGTCCGCGCGGGTACCGCTTCTGCCCGCTCCTCTGCTGATTGCACGCC